TCGAGCTTTCCTTTCATTGACGCCCAACCGAATGATCACGACTGAAAGAGAATGGCGCGTGGAAGAGGTAGCCTTCCCCCCGGCACTGCAAGTTGCATTCCAAACTTCATGTTGCCTGAGTGCATTGTCGCCTGGAGTACGCTTTAAACGAATGTTTTTCTGTTTCCTCAGTAATTTTCCCTAAGATGTTTGAAAAGATCCTTAAATTTCCGAAAATCATTCTTCAAAGATTGGGCCCAGCACAATGTTAGGTCGCTTTCTCGCACATATGTCCAGTAGGATCAGCCATGCGCACAAGAATGTGCCAACGTATGTGCGTATCAGCGATACACATTTGCGGTTCCTTGGACGCGAGCACACTTTGGGTGAACCATAGTCTTCTGTTCCCTTAGTAATTCTCCTAAAATTTTGAAAATAATTTTCGAATTCTCAAAGATTGATCGCCAGAAGTAGGATCGAGCGTGCGTATCTCGTTGAGTACTATCGCCTGGAGCACGTTTAGGGTTATTGTTCTGATGTTGGTAGCAGTGTATCTTTCTCGCACGTGCGCAATGGGGTGTGCCATGCACAAAGATGTGTCAGCACATGCGTGTATAAGAGAGAATGTTATAGCTTTTTTCATGATTTCTTTTGAATTTTATTATATTTTTAGTAGACTGTTAGTAAAGTCTGTCTTGCTAAAAAACAGTAAATTTCTCTGAAATATGTCTGACAGTTGATTACACTGTAAAATATAGAAAGTTAGAGGTTTTGAAGCAAATATTTTTGTATCTTAGGGATCCCCGTAGTTAAGGAGAACCTGATATTTTCATAAAATTTTGCAAAACTCACCTTAAAACACCGAGGAAATTAAAGCATGTATGGAATGAAAGGATAGTCGATTATTGCAGAATGTCAGTCTACTCTTAGGTTAGAAAATTCCGCGGTAATTTTTACTGCGAAATTTCCCCCGTGTAGAGCTCAGAGATACTTATCTGAGCGAAGGCTCCGGGGAGGCAATTAGAGCTTTTAACCCTTGGCTTACGCAAGGTGAATCATCCGTGCCCACATTGTTACACCCGAAAGGGCGTTTCGGATTCCTCGTAATTAAGATTCGTTTAATATAACTTATTAAATCCATCCGTGAGAAAGTCGGTGGAGCAATATCGCACGACTAAAACACGAAACAACGTTCACTGTTATTGCAAAGTTGATTGTCTACGGTATGCCGCGTCACGGTCGGCAAGAGCGCTCTTGCAAAGTCGTAGTCGAGTTTCATTTAATAAGCGTCTTTGTGCGGAGAAATTAATTCCGTATACGACTGTGAGAATTACGAAACAATGCTCATCGAGCTTATAAAACTTCACTCTCCCCCCTTTCTGTCTCTCTCAAGTACGCGCGATACCTTTCATGCGGGATTTAAATGAGTTCAATTTCAGTTTCGCCGAGATCGTGTTTCTCTTTCATTCGATCGGTCGATCGACTTTATTATCCTCTATGTATTTTGATATAAGCGCGTTTTGATAGGATCTAAGAAGGCCCCGGTTATACGCAGGCGAAGAGAAAGAGGCAGAGATCCGGGGAACGATCTTCTCATCGATCGAACGACCACATGCGCGTCGGACATAGCCGCGATAAATCATTAGCCGGGCGTGTTTATTGGCCATGCTCGAGTAAATACCGGCCGGTGGTTGATTTACACCCGGCACCGATCCCGATCGGCGATCGATCGCTCGTGACTCGCGAATCGGGCGCAACAGGCGGGCCCGAGCGCCCGATACGGAAGCTCGAAACAGCGGAATTAGGTGTGAGATTTGCGTAGGCGTGCGTGGCCGGCAAGGGACGACGAGAAAAGAAACCGCCGTGAGAAGAGCATGAATGTGTAATGAGAAAGTATCGCTCTCTCGGAGTCGAAACGCGATTGACTCGGTTGCTAAATTCGTCGCGCGCGACTGCGTTAAAATTTCATCATTATTTTGACGCCCGCGGTTCACGTAGTATGTATACTCGATTGCTAGACGGTTTGCGCACTTTTTATGGAGTGAAGTTGCAACGCTTCGAGTCACGATGGATTGAGAATCACTGCTGACTGCGAAATAATCGTTTATAAATACATTAAAAAATAAGTGTTCTGTATAAAACTAATTTATTCAAATTAACAATCACATACATATACATGTTTCATATACAAGCAACAATATATAATTTTGTTGGAAGGATTTAAAAGTCTTGAATTTTCAACAATATAATTTCATTTGAATATTGTAATAGTTTCATAAGAAGTATACGATTATTTTAACGATATATCTTCTTAGGATATTTTAAAACATCAGATTCAATTTAATATTTCGTGTTTTCTATTTATGAAAAAATTATATTTGAATAATGAGAATATATTTTTCTCTGTTGAATCACATATAAAATATATTAAATGCAACTAATCTGTTTAATGCTGTGTAATCTCACTTTAAGTTTTAGATGTCAAAATATTAAAGATATTTTTAAAACAAAAATAGCTTTTTGCTCCGTGTGTATAAAAATTACTTCTCGAGATAATGTTTTCGTTATTTAAAATAAAAGTATCTCTTACAAATTTCACAAATGTCACGCTCTGTACTGTTACTTCGGCTCGTGTCATAACCGACCGCTGCGCATACACAGTAGTGGCTTTCAGTTCTGATGTAACTTGCAGCGTTGCAATATCATTCGATAAAGAGTGCACAAACGGTTTAGCAACCGGGTATGCACATCTGATATTTTCCGTTGCAATTACGCGAGGAACATTCGCATCGACATCTCTATCCCGCAATTTCCAGGAATAGTTACCTCGTGTGCGTTGCACGTCGCCGTAATTTCAGGATCACCTCGTGGACAATTTTGTTCGCATCCTCGCGGTATTAAGCAAAACTCCGACGAACGCTTTTGACATACAGTTCCGCTGGCAGCTTTAGTTTCGCGAAATTCTCGTTTGTGAAACAGCAATCCGCCGTCAAAAGGGACGCTCTTTATGTCGAGACTCTGACGGTTCAGGTGTCAAAGAAGAGAGAGAGAGATAGGTAGATAGAGAAAGAGAGAGGAGAAGAGAGAGAGAGAGAGATATGGGTAAAAGAAGACTGCCCACACCAGGGGTATACATTACGTGCAACGTCGACATCAATTTCTCAGCCGGACCCATTTTCCGATCGAGTTCCACAGGTTACGCGATGTAAATCAGAGCCGATTCGCCACTGTCCAGCATCGTCGTTCTATAGCCGAAGTGAACTGCCACGTTTGTAGGTTATCTCCATTCTTCCTTGACACGAGTGCGCGATAAAGCGCACGCGATATCCTTGCTTGGCAACAGTTATACCGTTTGCGCTTTTCGCGAAACATCGCGGAGCGCATCGCACCTGAATCGGATTTGGCGAGAATTATCTGTTTTGCGTTCTCTCTCGCAGCTTATATCGCTTTTTTTATTGATTTTCCTATTTTTTTTTATCGAATATACGTTTTAATTGGATTAATGCACGTATATAGAATACTTAACCTCGTTGCATATATGAATGCGAATATATATGGTATCCGCAACGCGAAGAAAGAGAAGGAGAGAGAGAGAGAGAGAGAGAAAGAAAGGGAAGGAAAAAGACAATATACGCGGCGAGTATGTTGAGCGAAAGCCCTCGGAATTCGTGAAAAATGCAGTCTGGAAATTTCCAACGGCGCCTCGCCCAAGCAGCAGTACTCGTGCGCAATTCGTCGAGCTTTATGCAGGATCCGCCATAATCCCTTCACGTGCCGCAAATGGTAGCGGCAGTTTGTCTCCGCCGGCTCGTGACATTCTTCCAATTTCTCCTTCTGTATATTTTACAGCGCGAACAACGTCGCGCTGTCTTTATAGTTTCGGGATATCGAGATTACTCGACTCACTGTCCGTTATCTAATGAAGGAAGAAAGGTAGAAAGATATAACAGAATCCCTCCTCCTTTCTCTCTCTCTTTTTCTCTCTCTAACTTTCTCTTCTCCTCACGAAAATAAGCAAGAATTTCCCGATGACAAGTCGGACAGCTCATCTCGTAACAATTACGAGAAGTATCATAAAGTCAGATCGATAGTGGGATTCTGCCGAGGTTGTCGACGAGTCATTTCGGTAACGAGCGCTTCGACGCGCATCAATAAATCGTTCGCGCAATCAAGAGCAAGTCGTGAAATAAACGCTCGCGCATGATGGTTGCGAAACTCACCCGTCTGCGTGTAAACTGCGGCATGTTTACAATCCGCCGACTCGCTCGCGCCGAAGCCTTAGACAAGTGTAGCACACGGAAACAAGTCTCACTGCGACGCGGGCACATATTTGCCAAATCGTATTACGGAATTACTGTGTTCGCCGCGTATAGGACGCAGTAAAGACGTCGCGCGTCTAACGACAATTGGCGTTTACTGCTCTGCCCGCAAGAGAGATAAGGTTCACGTTATTGTCATTTCTTAACTTGACCCGATATCAATCGCAAGCCGACAGTCGTTATGTCCGTCGAGCCGCGGCATATACTCTTTAAATCTCTTGGAGTGAAATCTCACAACGAGTGAAGAAATTTTACATCTAAGCTGGTATTCATAGTCCGAGCTTATATTTAAGATTATCTTAAGTATTGTCTTAAGATGTCATGAACCAATCACAGAGCCTCTTAAGACATTACTTAATGTATTCGCATCTTAAGACATTGCTTAAGACGGTCTTGAAATAAGATTCGAGTATGAATACCGGCCCTAGTATTCCTCTCAAGATAAATACTAAAAGAAGCACGTGAGCAACGTACCCCTGTAACCATTTAGTCTTCCTTTACATGCAAAAAAAATTTCAGTTGGTGCAACCAAATAGGAACCAACTGAAAATTAGGTGGTCAGAAGCGATATCCCTGTTATGAAAACTAATATTTCTGTTCTCGCAACCGAAAATATTCCTCTGAACATTCAACGATATTAGAACTCGGTTGAGACAACTGAGAACAATTGACTATACAGAAGCCTCATAAAGGAATTTTTCTGTTCCTACAGCTGAATTTTCGTCTGATCCCTGAGCAACCGAAAATTCGGTTGCACCAACAAAATTTTTTTTTCCGTGTACATCAGATTCATTCTCCCATTTCGAGTGAAAATATTCGCCTGGCGATTCAGAGCGGAGAATTCGCTTTATATAAGTGAACAGATATTCGAATTCGAGTGACTCGGCGGTTATTCTATTTTTTAAGGCCAAAGTGTCACTCCAAGAAATTTGTAGAGTACGTTCGATGAGAGTCGACTCCACGACCCATGAACCTCCCCCGTTTCATCGTCCTTGACGGTGGAGGTCCGGCAAGAGGGCTTAATTGAATTCCGCGCGCGCGACTTTTTCCGATTCCATTCGCGATCATCGTTTCGATTTTATCCATTGTAACGTTCCCGCGCGTGTCCCGCCTGTGCCTCTTTGCGCCTCGGTCGCTTGCAACCGAGCGGTGATTTCTATCGGTCGATCGATCGATCGTGAACTACTTGGCAGTCGCCACTTACTCGATTCTGCACGGAGCCACTCGTCCCCTCGTTATCGACGTTCGAATTGCGCTTATCTCCGCCGCTGGAGGGCAACGTTTCAGCTGTGATGGTCGACTTCCGTTACCAGACGGTGTATAGAAAAGCGCGCAGAATCGGCGAGATACTAGTAGATAACCTTATCGCTCCCTCCGCGGGACTCCATGCGTTCAGACGATCGTCGCGGCAATTCGCATCTGGAGATCGCGTCGGGCCATGGGCGCGTTTAATTTTACCCACCGCCTCTTAGAATAATGATATTTGCGTTACAATGCATACAGATGGAACGCGGAGTATTTCTGGACGGTCGCCGTAATTATGTCGACGCGTCGCACGGAGGAAGCCGACTGTTCTTCGCGGTCGCGGTCGCAGCAACCACGAGGAATCGGAAATAGGCTACACTGAGAGAGAAAACATATTTAAAAATAAGAAATATTTATTCGGTGGGTGCTAATGACATATTTACTTGCGCACGGAGAGAACGTTATAGTTTTCTTCCATATAAATTCTTTTTGATTTTAGTGTTCCAGGAATAGATTGTCAGTAAGGTCTATCTTGTTAAGAAACATAATAAGTTTTTCTAGAAGCGCAACAGATCTCGCTGAAAACATAATAAGTGTTTTAATTAATTTTTCTCTAAAAAGTCCAGATATATGAATCGAATATTATAATATTTTAAAATGAAAATTATAAAATTCTGCATACCGTCATTCTTTTTAAACGTAAAGTTAGAGGTGCAAATGGAAATTTATATTATTTAGATTCCCCTAGAACAATTCTATACTGGTCAAATCTCAGAATCGATGCGAAACACTTCGGGACCTTCCCTTCTAAGTGTAGATCCGTCGGCGAAAAATAGATCGCGCGCGCTGTATCCGAAGGGGTTGACGCGGCGGAGGTTGGACGCCGCGGAAGCCGTCTGAAACGTCTGGGCCGCGGGGATGAAAGTACGGGATCGCGAGTTTATACAGATAGCCAGCGGATATGAGAGGAACAGGGTCGGACCGTGGTCGGTTCGTTATTACCCGATTATCGCTGTTACCGGACTAATCTCGCCGCGGCAACCCCGCAGCAGCAGCAGCAGCAGCGGCAACAACAGCGGCGAGGCACCGGCAGCAACAAGCAGCAGCAACAGCTTTTGCACTTAGCACTTACGTGGCCGGTATTATGTGGCAATAACGAGCGACCCCCATCACGTAACCCCACTTAAGAGCCGAGTTTGCCGCCGCGCGGGCAAGGGAAGGGAGAAAGAAAGGGAAAAATGAAAGTGCCTCGACCTCCACCCATCGTTACCGGCCATCCACGTCGGCATAACGGACGTTTAACCCCCTTTCCCCTTTCTCCGAGCTCGCGAGCCGCGTGCACTCACGGTTGACCGTGAACAACCGCGGGGCTAATAGAAAATACACACCGCCGCGCCGTCGCTCCCCGTGTAAGCCTTGTCCCCCGTCTCTTCCTCATCATCATCCTCCTCCTCCTCCTCCTCCTCCGCCTGCGCTCGCTCGTATCCCTCTTTATTAATATCGACGTTTCGTGCGATACCGACATTAATCGCGCAATCGGGCTCTTTCTCCTCGTGGTTCGAGTGCACGCGTATCATACCGGCGGCCACGGTGCCGCTCTCGGCCCGGCTCTTCTCTATCACGCGAGTTCGATCGGCTTCTAAGGACTTCCTCGATGGGACAGGGGTGGGCGCGCTCGATATTGTATAATTTCGCGAGATCACGACGCGAGAGAGAGAGAGAGAGAGAGAGAGAGAGAGAGAGAGAGAGAGAGAGAGAGAGAGAGAGAGAGAGAGAAAGAGAGAGAAAAAGAGAGATCGCAACAAGATAGGAAGTGATTGCTTGAGAAACGCGCGCGGAAAATATGCACACTCATAAGGGATGCAATCTTTACAAGTTGCGACTACTAAAATTGCTGTGAGATTTACGTATACTTGTCTCTAAGTCTGGGCAGTAATAATAAATATTAATTTTAATTATATACGGTAAATTGCGCGCCGTGGCGCGGTTGAACGCGACGCGATATGCTATCATACGTAGTAAATTTTTAGAATAGCGATACGCGTCCGCGTTTCAGCAAGAAGTCGCCTCATATTGTCCGTGATGGTGCGGTATTCTCTAAACTGTTGCGCGAGCTAATCGACGTGGGCGCGGTCGACAGCGCGCTCGAAAATGGATTGAGGATGCGAGTGAAAGAGATAAAGAGAGAGAGGGAGAGTACGGAGAGAGAAGATGTCGCGTAGCTTCGAATTATCACCGTGGATAATTGCTCGGGCGAGAGCGAGTTAGCGGTACATGAGTCCCGAGATGACGGCGGCGGAGTGCCTCGCCGTCGCTGCATACCAACTTAAATAGCCTGGCGCTTTATAGATGCCCATTAATAAACTTCATTATGCTCCTGCGCTTAATTGATTAATGAGAAATTACGAGACGGCGCGGAGCTGTGTGCAGAAAACGACGGGGGTGTATGACGGGCGTTCCCGCGAGGGATAACCCGGCCTGGCCTAGCGTGGCTTGAAAAACGAGGGAAACCGCGTTAATTAAATCCACAATGTAATCTCGCTTCCAAGGTTCCGCCTGTATTTCTGCGCCGTGTTTCTCCTTTTTCTTGTTGTTGCTTCTTTTTCCCCCTCCCTTTCTCTCTCTCTCTCTCTCTCTCTTTCATTCTTTCTCTCCCCACACATCGTGTGCATTAATATTTTTCGCGCGAAAACCGTGCGCGCGCGAGGTAGAAAACGCGCGATAATTAACCAACCGTAGGCGCCGCAGCGGTCGCGCCTATCATTTTTGCTCGGCGCTATTGTTACGCAAAATGCAATATAGCGGAGTAATCAGAACTTGCAAGAACGCTGCGGTACTTTCTCGCACGGCGTGTACGCTATGCAACGAGCGGTATTAGTCGTTTTTTTTCTTTTTCCGATTGCGTTTCCCGGTGGAAAAGGAGGATTGAGGAGGTGAGGTAGAGGAAGTGGAGGAAGCGGAGGATCGTATCCCCGTGAGCGAGTGCGCGCGAGTCCTCGCATTCCCTGGAGATTAACGGCGGCGTAAGATCGAATCCCGGTAGTATCGGCAAACAGTTTCCCACTATTAAGCGCAAGATCTCCCGCTATGACTCCACGATCTAGCGATACCTGGTCGGGAGTAACTTCCGGTATTTTTGCGACGCGCGAGTACCTGCCTATAGCGTGCCTCCACGCCCTTTAATTATCCGCAGCTTGACGCCGAGTAGTTACAGCGGATAGTAACGTTGTCATTATGACTGTGAAGAGCGAACGAGGCTACCGTGCCCTCCTCCTCCTCCTCCTCCTCCTGCTTTATCTCTCCCCTGCTTCTTATTCTGCTCCTTCTCCTTCTTCTTATTGCTCCTCGCGGCTCCTTCTCCTCTCACGACGATATAGAGGTCGTGGCGTTTTAAAGCGGCGAGAGAGTCATTGTCCAGCACCCGGTTCAAGATCCGTTCCGCGAAACGCACGGCACTCCGTCACCGTTCGCTTCACGATCGGCTCCGGGGCATCGCACCCCAGGTAGAAACGTAAAACCGGGGGTTAAAAGGGATCTAGACAGTTTTACCCTGCTTCTATCAAGATCCTGTAAACATGGGTCCATTTAGATCCTACACGTAACGCTCTTACAAATGAGCGCTTAGATTGGTAAATCTGATTAGATCTTAGGTATTAGATCCTATCTTTTGATATCTTTGCCTACCTGGATCATAACCGAAATGATCATGAATTGAGATCCTATTAAGATACAAATAAAAACCTTCCTTAACATGCTTATTAAGAGCATTATAATTCAAGTTTCATGTTGGAAAATATGTACATGCTTCATTTGTCTCTTTAAGACTTCACTGAGAGGAATTGCACCATGTGCAGGAATTGGCTAATTTCTCTGGATTCCATTAGTACAAACTTCGTTTGGAGCGCCCACGTCATCATCAATTCATGACCTGTTCACCAAATTCCATTCAAAATTTCCCTTTCTCAACCATATCTGGGCCTTACGAAGGCATTCCTATCTCATGGCATCTCTCTGGCTACGACCCACCACATTCCCAAGGCCCGTCCCAATTAATTTCTACCCGGGACGGTGCAGCTGAAGCTGTCGGGACTTGTTGCCGACATCCTGTATGCGCGGCCTATTGTCACGGGCGAACGTGGCGCATTCGTTGGGCGATACGAGTCCGCACTGTGGCGGAAAAATTCATTCGCTCGCTCGCTCGCTACGAAATTCGGATAACTCTATCGGCCGACCTCGCCTAGAACCCATTACTTTATCAGCGGCAATAAAAGCGTCGCCTTACTAACATCCTAGCCATAAAGTGACGTTAAGTACGCCGGTACAGGCTTCGAGTGCTCCGACAAGGAGCCCCCGACTCGTGCGCGGCTCCCCTGAATCCTTTGTTCGCGATCGGGCGCGCTGCGGCTTTACGACCGCGAACCTCGACGATACCGACGGGTTTGCTTTCTCACTTCGTTGTGTATATCGTAGCTGGAGTACACGACAATATGTCAGCCGCGCGAAAAGCACAGACGCGAAAGCGTCGTTGAAACAATGATGGCAGGTGGGCGCGACGCGTCCAGGACGATCCTTCATCGAAGGACCGCGCGCGGCACTCGTGGGCGTCCTAATAGCTTTTAATGCCGCGCCAACTTGATTTAGGTGCACGCACCGGCCGCAGATTCGCACAAAGGATCTCCACGGTGCACTGACCGTCCTTTCGAGAGAGAGAGAGAGAGAGAGAGAGAGAGAGAGAGAGAGAGAGAGAGAGGCAGAGGAGAAGGGGAGAGAAAGAGAGACCCAGACTCTCTCGACGGACCCGCGCGCGCCCTTGAAATTCCTCCCGCGAATACCTGCGGCAGCTTTCGGCCGCGCGCATAAAGTAAGATAAAGCTCTATAAAACGTGTGTGACTTTTTCCGATTGTCCGAGGGCGACAGAGCCGTCCTGGAGCGGATTTTACGCGCGCACTCGTAATTCCCGCGGCGATCGCGACTTTAGCTCGCGCGTGAGTTTTTAAACGGTTTTATGGAACCCTTTAATTCGCGAATACGACCGGCGCGGGTCTCTTTCTTCCGTTCGTTCTTCCTCTTTTTCTCGCTCTCTCACTTTCTTTCCGGCGGGGTCTCTAACCGACCGGATCGTCATCGCGCTCGACTAACTGGTCGACCAGGACCAGATTCTTACCGCGAAACCGCCGCGTCTGAGCTTGAAGTCTTATTTTTCTAAGAAACGCTCGTCCTTTACTGTCAACTTGGTAGCCTTTAGAGCCTGTCGTCGGGTCAATGGCTGCAGACGAAATAGAAAACGAAATTAATGATTCTTTTGAGAAACTTGTTCAAATTTTTCAACGATGAGAGAAGGGATTATTATTAACACTGCAACTACCGTTGATTGTTCCGTATTTCGTGTAGAGTAAAATTTCGCTCGAATTCGAGTGATTCTTCAATCGTGTAGAGTGAATCATCCAGTGAATATTTTCACTCGAAATTGGAGAATAGATCTGATTTATTCTATTGTCGCATGAACAAATTTACTATAATCGATTGAGATACTCGCCGATATGGAGTCGGAGTCTACTCTAACATTGATGAGAACATTCACTTTTGTGATTTCAAGCGGTAGTAATTCCACTATTGCTCCGAGTGAGCTTTTCACTCGTTTTGAGTGAGATTTCACTTCAAGAAATTTAAAGAGTAATGGCCATCAGAGTGATGAAAATCGCGGTTTTTCGAAGAAATACGTAAAGAGAAAAACGTTTATTTAATTTTATTTAATATTGATTTAAAATATAAACTGCACTGTTATAAATTTGAATAATCTTTCTAAGAAATTACAAACTCATTATCTCAACTTTGGCGGTTTAACCCTTCATTAGGCGTGTTGTCTACAGGTGTAATTTGAAAGTTACATATCAAAGATGTATCTTTATATAGTCAATGATACATGATATTTTGTAATATAATTTATTTGCGTGTATTTCCCAAAAAATATAAATTTTAATGAATCAAGCGTGTCTGAAGTAAGATAAAAACATACACGTCTACTGAAAGATTAATTGACGTCTCGAATTGGCGATTTGCGTCTCGAGCTCAGTGTTGGGTATTAATCAATTAAAATTTTCTTTGACTAAGATAATCGATCAGTCGTCATATAATCAAGAATTTGTGGATTATTTCAGATAAAGAAAATTTTCATCGATTAACAACACTGCCCAACACTGGCCGAAGTGCACTGTACACGGGTTCGCGTTTACCGCGCCTCCTCGTCGTGCACCTCCTCGTGTGGTCTCCGCACTAAGAATGTATCCCCTCGGGGATAGCCTCGCGCGTCCACCCACTGATGCTTGCATACTCTCGATGTCTCGGCTTTCAGACGGTTCTTACCCCAAAAGGAGCAAGCAACGGCACACGGGTTACCGACGTCTGCCTCCTAGATGTTGTATGCAAATTTCCGTACCTCCTAGCCGCACCGCCAGACGTCGGGAATATGAATCATGCCGCGCGACGAGAGGCGGCCACTGCCTCATAACAGGAAATCCGTCGCGATCGCGCGAATTCAAACAAAGCCCACCGCACGTTGCTCCCTCGTCCCCTTCCCGCCCTCTTCACCGATCGGTCGCGTCCTACGCACGCATGAAATATCCTGGGAACGCGGGGCAGCGAGATACCTGCGAGAATCTTAATTAATAATTTCGGTGACTCGCGTTGCAAGCGTCGGCTATGTATAACACGCGTCCATTAGCACCTCTATAATGCATAATTTCAACTCAAAGTCGAGAGAGCCTCTCGAACTCGCTCGCCTGAGCCACTCAAGCTTGCACATTTGTGAGCAACGCAGCTGTGCTGCGTAAAAGACTTGTAAAGCGAAAACTGCGCACAGAGGTGACGATAAACGAAGGGAACAACTTCATATTTTCCAAACTCGTCGGTGACATCGCGTGGCTGATGTCATCATGACCAAATCGAGTACCGAGAGGTCTTAAACTCGCGTTTTACTTTCACTTCGCGCACCGATCCAGGAACTTGAGACATTTCCATCTGGAGGGTTAGCAATCGATATATTTATTCTCGATACTTTGGATCGAGTAATCGATATATTTATCCTAGCAGAGGGCTTTTAAACGGTTTGTTGCGTGGAATGAGAACAACTCCACTTATGATGTCGAGCTACTTCATGCTAATCATGAAACGAGTATTCCTTATATTTAAAAGGGAAAGCCTCTAAGAACTTCATCGATTCTGAACTTAGACCAGAATTGCTTTAGAGGGTCTAAATAATTTCCATTTGCACTCCCTATCTATGCGTTTAAAAAGATAACGGCACATAGAAATTTATAATTTTTTACAATTTAATAAAATTAAAAAAATTATAATAATTAATCACGCTATAAAAAGTCGTAAAATTTATTCGGCTTTAAATTTAACTAAAAAACAAGTTGATAGCACTTCTATATTTTTTATAGTAGAACAAGTTAGAACAGAAGTTGATAGTACCATCTTTATTTTGTATCATAGTGTTTATATTAATTTCTGCCAATATTTTCAATTAAAGTTAATAAACATTTTTTTATTTTATTAAATTGTTGAAAATGATGAAATTTTGCCATTTTTCTAAAAATTCATATTATTTAAATCCCCTAAAATAATGCTATTCTAGTTTAAATTCAGAATCGATGATACACCCGGGACCTTCCCTTGTCATAGTAGTTATTGAGCTTAACTTTGCATATCACTATGCGCACAAGATGGCGACTTTCGACATATCGAATCTCAGTGTCGCCTCTCTGTAAACCTGTAGGGCTTTGCTCCACCCGTAAGAGACGAAATTATCGATCGATTCGCTTGCAGCGCATTGTTTCGTGTACTGGCATATTTCTGGGAGACTTCCAGTCGCTTCTCTCAGGCCTGCTTATGAATATCCCAAGTTTCTCCGACGTAGTTCGCAAAAGTGCCTGACGGCGTACCAGCCGCATTTCCTTCGTGGCGATCGGCGACGGATGGCACAATAAAACAAACAGTAGTAGACGCGACGCAATGAACCGCCGTTTACCGGCACGTAACGAAGACGATCACGCGACCTCACGTTCGCGGATAATAACCGTGGTGAGGCCGCGCCTAACTGCTTCCCTCGATGTTGCACGTCTCGCAACGTCGTTACCATTCCTCTCCCCGATGCGTCTCCCCTGCGACGCGAGACGTCGCGGAAAAATCGGTGCAATCGGGTCGTTGTGTTGCGCGAGAATTAGTGGCACGTAAGGACGAACGCGAGGATCGTGCGTGCGCGAATGATCGATAAATGTAATCGGTTCTATATGAACCGCGGCTTCCTCTCGCGAGCTGTCCTCGAAACCGATTGACTCTGTTTCCCGATGGAGTCAACGACGCATCTGTTTGATCTCCGAAGGTCTCCGCGAAGGGGGCAACGTATCCCTTACGATCACTTACATCTCATTTGCATCTTCGCATTGTCTCGTGCCTCGACACCACGAATATCACGAAGCATTCCCGGTTATTATTCCGCGGCAGCCTGCTTAAATTCCGCGAGCCGGTGCCTATCGTTGCCGCCGGCTCGTGTTAGTTGCGGTACGCGCGGAATCTTCAAGCGAGCCTAAAATGTGCGCAGGTAATTGGGTGAGAACCGCGGAAGTTCCGGGAAACCATTAGCGCGCGCGATTTGGAGTAGCTCCGAGTGTGCGCATTGTGCAAATACAATCAACCAGTGACCTTCCTGGTCGCGCGAAGACTGCGAACATTCGTGTGTGATGCTTCGACGTGCAACTCCGGCGTGCCTGGAGAGATTGAAATCGCTCGCAACGTCCTCAAGTAACACTGCGAAACGAGAACTCTGACTCTCTGGAGAGAAACGCGAAGACGCGGAGCTCCATGGCGAAATAGAAGCGGAGATCACTGGACCAATCCAGAGCTATGGAGCTATCTGTTTGCCCCATGAAACTCGGAGAAGCCGAGGAAATGTCACCTGAGTGAACTCATCACCGAGAGCGTTATTCTAACGACGATCCAGCGAGTGATAACGCGAGAACTTTAGTTTGGCGGCGTGATCGAGAGGAGAGAAAGAGAAAGACAGACAGAGACAGAAAGAGATAGATCCTCTGCTCTTCATTCCGGCGAAGATGGACGCCCTGGAGTTACAAGCTGCCTTGGTGAAGTTGGACCCGGCCACCACGGTGACGCCGATTAGCGCCACCGTCAAACTGGTGACCCAACATTGCGTCGCCTTCGCCGTCAACATCGACGACGACGACGACGAGCTGACCATGGAGAATTCGACACGGGACGACGAGAAATCGGCCGAGGCGACGGCCACGACGACAACGACTACCATCACGTCGTCGGCGACGTCGCGGAAGACGCCGGGCAACTGCGTGGCCAGCCTGACGACCACGACGACCACCACAACGACGACCAGTCATCAGAATCACCAGGGCGGCCAGCAGCTGGGCGTCTCCAAGTGCGGCATCGTCGAGGTCAGGTGACGCCAGCCACCCTGTTTTGGCGTCAACGTGATCTACCACACGTACCCGCCGCATCGGGGCAGCAAGCATCACGCCAAGCATCACGCCAAGGAGAAGAGGCATCATCATCACACTATGCACCATCAGCATCACAGAGCTCATGTGGTAAGTCATCGTCATCATCGTCATCGTCGTTGCCGAATTACGCGCTGCTTGTCGCGGACAAAGAGAATCGCGAAGACACGCGCGGGGTGTCGAGATGACGTCATCGTCGTCGTCCTCGTCGTGGAGCGCGCAGAGGAAGTTTTCGCGCGTTATTATTCGCACTTCGAAGGTCGTCCGGCTATTTCACGTGCGCTGAACTCGAGAGTGACTTCAGTAGCGGCAATCTGGTCGCGTTAGAGAATTCGATCGATGAGATTTTTGTCTCGGCGAAATGAGGAGGTAGAAAAGTAACGAGACGACAATGGAGTGCTTCAGGGGAGGACGAACTCTTACGTCTCACGGTGCTCTAATAACGAATTCTATTAAGGTGACCAGTGGTGGGACTACGTTAAAATAATAGCAAAGAAATAGAAAGAAGTTTCCTGTCTATACAATCACGTGTAACAACTCAACGAATCGTTGCATGACAAACCGTTGCACGACAAACCGTTGCACGTGATTGTGTAGACAGGACATTTTTTTCCATTTCTTCGTCTATTTTTTGCAGAGTTCTACCACAGATTTCCCAGTCCTGAATTCGGGACACTTCATAAATGTGTGAAGCGGGAGGAGGGGGATAAAAAGGTCCGAAAATTATTTGACAATCATTGAAAATAATGACAAATCGGTGTCCCGAATAGCACTCGAAAAAATTCGGTACAAAGGGTGAGAAATCGGGACGTTTGGTCCTTAGCTGTGTCGAGAAGGGAGGAGATTACTCCGTAATAATGTACTTACGATATGTCCTGACGACCGCACGTCATTGTTTTCAGCACTCTAATATTTATTTCCGCAGGAGACTCACAGGACACAAGCGAAAGACGTATGGAATACGGAGCGTTGTATCCATGGCAATTGCTCGGCAGGAAAAGATCGTAGACGCGCGCGCTGTCAATCACGTATACCAAAAGCGTTCATTAGCGCGCCGAAAGTGCCAAAAGTGCCAAAAGTGCATGAATGTGAACGCGCCAGTGATGCGAACGAGGTCGCGCGTCTACAATGGCGAACGCCTTAACCAATCGCGTTCGTTTTGCACTACGAGGTTGTCATCGTGATTATTCAATCTAAGCGTTGGTAATGAATCGCGCGATCTTTTCGCGCCAAGCAGCAGCCATGGGCACACATCGATCCATATCGCTCCGCGTTTCTCACGTCTTTTATCCGTCGAAAGTGCGTCTCGCGCGTTAATAAATCTCGAGAGTGTCGAGAATAGCGATATGCGATCGCCGGGGCGTATCGTGAAGATCGTGAAGGCGTATCGTCATTTGTAAGTAATCTTCTCGTTTCTCCTCGCGGTATATGCAGCCGGTGCTTGTCGCGACGTATCATGCCGACACGTCTCTTACATTTACTAAAAACATTGACTCGCTCATGTAGCAATATAATCGGGCGATCGTCGGATTTATTGAACGGGAATTAGAAATGCGATGATGATCAGAGAGAAAGAAAGAGAGAGATGCGGGATATTCGGGCGGTTGCGTCAGCTTGTTAGGAAAAGAGATACGGAGAGAGAAGTATCTCATAGAGCGCGTTCTTTTCGGCCGCGGCGCCGTTCATATATTGGCGTATATTTTCAGCGCGACTCAACAATCGCGCGACCATCTTGATTCTCGAGCAACCGCCGTGGACACACCGATCGACATCGCTCCGCATTTTACGCGTCTTGAATCCGTCGAAAGTAAGTCTCGCGTGGAAATAAGTATCGGGAGTGTCGAGAATAGCAATGTGCGATCACCGGGGCGTATCGTGAAGACATCATTTGTAAGTAATCTTCTCGTTTCTCCTCACGGTATATGTAAGGTGATCAGATTTCCCAGCCCTGAATTCATAAATGACACTTCATAAATGTGTGAAGTGGGGGGAGGGGGTAAAAAGATTCGCAAATTATTTGACAATCATTGAAAATAATGACAAATCGGTGTCCCGAATAGCACTCGAAAAAATTCGGGACAAAGGATGAAAAATCGGGACTATCCCGAAAAAATCACCTTAATTCTATTTTCGTCGCGACGATTTCACGCTCCTGTCCTGAGAACGGTACAAAGAAGCGCTCTGCGCGAAATTCGGAACTCGTTCGGGAGTTTTCGCAGAATTCAATAGGAGATGGGAAGGCGCTGCGCGCGATATCTCGTATTTTCGTTGGTCCTTGAGGAGCTTAGCTCGTCGTGGGCATTCGTATAATGTATTTGGTTCAACCGCCACTATCGCACCACACGAAAGTAAGCATGTCCCGAAATATATTGCGTCCCTTATCCCCGCGATATAAAGAATGTATTATGGAGTGAATGGCGGCTAGATGAGACAGAGATAGAATATATCACATGTACGTGTGTGTGTCTGTGTGTGCTATGAAAAACTCAAATTCACTTGTCGCATCTAGACTCTCCAGAGTGTAATTTTCCCAATATTTTCCGTTTATTAAAAAAAGAAACGAATCCACGAGTAAAATATGCCCTTGAATGTTTAATTTTATCATGAAATGAGTTTCGTGAGTATTTGATGAAACTTGCACTACATACACAGTGAAATATTATCTAACTGTGTGTGTGCAATTAGAAAGAGATTGATCATTTAAGAACTGATATATTTGCAAAAGTTGACACTTTTTATGTGTTCCTTGAAGCCTATTTTTAAATAACTAAAAATATTGTTGTGTTTTTCGCAAAATGATAGAGGAATTTTTTCTTCGGTTTGACCTAATTTACTTGCATACAAAATTATCGTCAGATGTCCTGTATATATTTAACTCAATTTTCGCGCAGATAATAAAGTAAACGTATAGAAACGTGATTTTTTGGATAAATAATAAATTTATGCATAGCTCCTTTGATGTGTCACTGAAAATATGGCAGCTAACGATATAACTACGTCAGAGTTATCGCGCTCACGATCTGCACGTGTGTTCCTCGACGCTACCAACATCGTGCACTCTCCCAACCCCTTTTTTCGCGAGTGAAAATTAATGCTACGCATAGCGAGATTGAAAATTAAATTTGTATATCCGCCGCGACCGAGTGGAATTAAAGCTGAAATTAAAGTGCGAATTAATACGTCTATGCGGGATTAATACTTGAGCAGAGCCGCGAGATTAGATCCTCGGCGAGTTCGATGCTCCTGAATGCTCATTATACGCTGGCGCGAGCGCGAATGAAGGATTTGCGACGTGTGTGCTGCGCGCGCTGTATTGTGCTCGTTTCTCGTTGTTTCTCGCGTGCCGCCACTTCCTTCGTGAATTTTTCCGCCTCGTGCAACGGTACCTACGCAGTGACGAATGTGTATCACCGAGTCAGCGGACAATGCGACACGCTCTGGCTGCCGTTCTGTTTGCTTCGCGCACGCCACCGCATCCATGCGCGCGCGTATAATTCGACACAGAGGACGAGCGTGTTCCGTGACGGCACGTATACGGTATACAGCCCGGGCCCGTCGTCTCTCGTGTCTGGTCGACGTAAGGAGAACCGCTCGCCCGCTGCTACCTCCCAGCCGGCTTTATCTTTCTAGCGGTAATTTCGCGGCGGATAATTAACGAACGCGCGCGGCAGCAATCAGCCGCGCGTTGCGCGCTAACCCACCTTAACTTGATCCCTTGTTTTGCTACGTCCGCGAACGGCAGATTAGTATGTTAATTTTTAACGGGGCTTTCGACAGTAGTGCAGCGCGCGGGAGCGACGCGTCTCCTCGGAAACCGACGACAAGCCCGGAAAGGGAGGACGACGCGTGCATGCGAAATGAGCGCGGCGCACGCGCTTAGATAACAATGCAACGCGATTGCTAATTTTTATTTGCGTTTCGTTAATCCTCGTGTATCACGCACGGCGCGCTCACGTAATGAAATTCCGCGGAATGTTCCCATTTTTCCGTAGAGGCAAACAGCACTCGAGGCCACGTGAGAAATTGGGAAAAATTGACGAGGTACCCGAGTAAAAGTGTAGAGCAGATTTCGAGACTACTAGCTAGATAGTAATGACTAGGTAAGTTTTCTAGCCAGTCACCAGCTCGTGACTGGCTAAATATTCCTACTCAGTCTTTTGAATGTTAGGACTATCTAGTGACTATACCAATTACATAGATAGTAGCTAGGTGAAAAAGATTACACAGTAATGAGATAGAAAATTATCGGTAAATCCTGAATAGAAATTGGATATCAGAACTGTCTAGTAACTGTACCAATTATAGTTACAAGTTACTTTTTTGTATCCAGCTACTAGATAATTTTTCTGGTACAGCCACTAGGAGAATTGAGCGTTACATTCCTAGCTAGTAAGATCCAACTTTTCTGTGTCATTACTAGACAGTAATTAGATTCAATTTTTGCTCGGGTAGCTCAACCAGAGATTAACCATCCACGCCGCTCGGCGATCCGTATTTGTCACCAAGTATGAGGGATATTCTAATTGTACTTTCGTGTGAAGATGATCGATCAGATCGACTCATCGAGGGTGAACAATGTCTCAGAGTAGTAGCGCGAGCGAGAGAGCGCGATTTCTCGAGTGTGTGTACACAGCTTGACGAAGGTGTGCGCTCGCAGCTGCACTTAAGCGGGACATAATAGGCCTATCGCGAGTCTACTTCACCGTCAGACTATCGCTCGCGGTCCCGGTACCGACGTTAATAGACGCGTTTCCGGAAGCACGAAGCGACGAAGACGCGACGGCACGCAGATCCGTATGTGGTAAATGGCGCGTCGCGCCGCAGTTTGCCGACGTCTAATTTAGGGTGATTGCCGTTCTCCGAGTTTGGGTAACGATGTCAGCCCGATGCCGGAATGAATTCGCTATTCCGCGATGTGGCACGCCAGTTTGACGCACGTTCCGAATAGAAAATTGACCACACACACGCATACAGAGAGAACGATTTGGTTGAATCAAATAAACACTTCTTTGAAATGGTCCAAACGGATTTTTTTGATTGATCGAACAAAATTTTATTTGACGCTACAAAAATATTTATTTGCGGCT